TATATACAATCATATATATTTAATTGCATTATCTTTAAGGCATACCATTCGATTACGTATTAGGGAGTGACTTATTTTGATAAGTGTTTACGTAAATAAATTAATTGGTTGGAGTAGACACAGTCAGTGACTGATGGCGAGACTTAGCTTATCTTCAAACACACACTTCTTTGTACAATGGTGATAAGAAATAGGTCTTTGAGGAGTAGTCCCAAGTAAAAGTCGATTCGCCTTACACAAACATCATAAAAATACATATGTACATATACTGGGGAATGGTGCACTATACCAGCAATTAGATTGCATGGAAAATGTCACTACAGATAGGCAGAGTACCGCCCCTATATAGTAAGTATGGGCTGTTCGTATCGCTTATCAGTACGGAAAGTTGTTGTGTAAAAATTCCAACTCAAAATAATTCCCAATCTCGCCTTTTTCTCTGGAGAATATATTTCAATGGAACAGTGAAATTTTTAAATGTTTCTAAGAAATTTCTTTTAATTTGTAGATTCTCATAAATTTCCAAACACATAAAAAAGTCACGTTAATAAATACTATTCGCCATACTTCCTTAGCAACTTTAAAACTGAAGAATCCAATTAGTCAGCAACTTTCGAGGTTTCTACTTTACCTTCTTTATTGCATAACTTTTAAAGCTTTCCTCCTCCAAAAGTTGATTCTCATAAAATTGCTCAAATAAGTTCAATGAACCCCCACGTTCTCAAGTTTAACCCTTCACTTTCCCCACAAATTGAGTTGTATAATATGAATAGTTGGCAACAATTTTAAATGCCCTCTAATGTTTTGCAACAATTTAAGTAAGTTTGTAGCTAAAATAAAAGAGTAATTACAAATATGAATATTCAGACTTTTGGCTATACTGTAGACTTTTAATTACAGTCGAACGTTGCCTCAGTTTTCTTAATTTGTTAAGTGTGAACACCTCGTGTATTCAGGCGAGCTGACAAATTGTGTAAATATTTGAGCAAATGTTGGCATGAAAATTACAAATATAGAAATGACTAGGCCTGAGCCGAGCTAACTGTTGGCATACTATATTCCCATCTATTGTTATATGCTAGGAATGAAAGTGTAAATTATAATGCAGACTTGTTTAGTCACGCCCCACTGACCTGACCAACTTATTGAGTCATAATTTTAACGTTTTTATGCGAGGAAACCTTTTTGCGAAATCTGACTCCGCTTTGTTGACTCTGGCAATTAAATAAACTTTCGGTGAATATATAAGGCTATGTGTACTCCTTATACGGGGTGTTTTGGTTAGCTGCTAGTAGATATATACTTAAGTAAATCAATAATGTAAATCATAATTTCCATGAAAGATAATTCTTAAGTATTTTGTACACTTATTACAGAGACTTAACAATCACTATAGTTAACTCTAATTTAGATAAGATAGCAACTCCAGGAAAACATTTACTTCCTTGATCAAAAATTCAAAAGCTCTTGAAAAATTCCAACCATCTTATCTCAAGAGTAATCTTTAGTCGTATGATTTAAAAAACAATAGCTACCTCGGTTTTCCAGTCGTCACAATGATTAATAAATGATGATTTCAACCAATGAGCTCATACAAAAAGTCTAGATTAACTATTCCATTTTCTTATTCTTCCAATCAGAACAACTTTACGTTTTTATTTACCAATACGCATATTGCACTGTGAGTTCAGTGATTATTTCTTTGTGAATATGCTTATTTAACGTTCAACAACAAAGATAGTCAGAATATTAATTATTTTCAATAAAGACCGCGTATGTGTCATTCGCTTTATTCCAATCAGGTCTCTTTGTTGGGAAAGATTTTCTCCGGGAGTAACCTCGTGCACAATTTTAAAATTTATATTTCTAACTCATTAAACAATTAATTGTAATTGCCGGCAATTACTAAAAATGCACAAAAAAAACCTTAAAATAGTTTAAGTGTTTCGTGCATTTTGTTTTGCACAAATTGCCAGTTGCAGTTAACTACAGGAAGGCAATAAATGTGTGGGTTGTCTAAAGGGGGTTTATCCATAGTCAGAATAATAATAATTATTGCATGCAAAAAAAAAATGGAAAGGAAAATACTAATTACCGAATGCGCTGCATAAATTAAAATCTACTTCCTTTCATTGTTCTGGTCACAAAAATTATTTCCTAATGCATTGCTTAACCCCCCAAGCTGTTCTCATTCACCAAAACCCATTGAAAAACTCATCGCGTGTCAAGTAAAACGCCTCCCCACAAAGAATTTTCCACAAACTCGTAAACATCTATATATAAAATACGGTATTGTATCGGGATTATTGGGCGGAAAGCCTCGTTGCACAGCTGATTCACTTTACTCGCCGGCAACAGTTTCTAGGTAAATAATTAATTTATTGATTGCCACCCAGGCCAGACAAATTGACGGCGTCGTTATAGACGAGGGCCACCAGTTGCTCCTATATTTTTTATTTTGTGTTCACGTTCCATTCGCCTTGTTAATAATTTATTTATAGGAAGTGTTGGCTCTTAAAAAACGCACAGCAGAAGCGGCTTTAAACGGGGTAAACACAAACGAACTAAAAACATACAGAAACCAGCCGGGCAAAAGTAGTTGACCCTGGTTTTAAAGGTAAGCTGGAGTTGCGAGTCTCAAAAGTGGTCTAATTCCATTGGAACAAAGTCACAATAGCTAGATATTTTGGACTTAATATCAAAGTTGGTTCCGAGTAAACACACATTCAATTACATTTCAATTTATTTGCTTACTGAGACAGTTTCACTGGTTTGAATGGCATTGTGTAATATTTTGAAAGCTATTTTGCACACTCATTCAAATTGAATTAAAAATTAATTTTATTAATTTTGATTTATTTCATTCACTCCCCTTGACGATGAATCATTTTTTATGGGAGGTAGACATATCCATTGTTACAAAACTGTGAATCATTTATTTGTTCTTTCAATGGAAATTCTCCAATATTAATAAATAAGTTCTTAAAAACTCGGATTATTTGGCTGGAGCACTATAAAGAATCGAATGATGTTTGTGAATTTAGCGTTTGTACTTCCAATATCGAAATCCATAAACACAAATGGCAATTGTGTTACGGGTAAAGCTCTTATCAATCATCGACTAAACGCAGTTCTCGTGCCCCCAGAATAATTTTCCACAATCAGCATGATGGCTGATAAATCTTCCAATTATTGCCATAAACCCCAACAAAAATAGCGATTATTGACGACATTGTGCCAAATATCATATCGGAGCCAACGTAATAAAGATATGCCAGTCCTTGGACAATTTGTGGAATTCTAAGGTCTGCGAAATCGACTAGAAATCATGACAAAGCTAACCACAGATAGGGGGTCTCAAGAGTGGAAAATCGTAAAATGTCGCGACGACCAGGAGAGAAATCCGGGCGATAAGAGGTTTGAATTACCCCGAGATAAGCCAAGATACGAAGTGCTTGCAAAGTGGGATTAGTCATCCTATTTTGGGCGAGATAATAAAGGGTAGGCGTTTACTTAGAGAGGGTTTGCAAGTTTGAAAATGTAATGAGGGTGTATTTAAATAATGCGATTCTGAATTTAAAATATTTTTTTATATTTTTTTTATAGTCATCACAATGATTTATAAATGATGATTTCAAGCAATATTTTTTTATACAAAGCCCACTTATCAATCAATTTGTATTTTTATACCCTTGCAGAGGGTATTATAATTTTGGTCAAAAGTGTGCAACGCAGTGAAGGAGACATCTCCGACCCTATAAAGTATATATATTCTTGATCAGGATCACCTCCTGAGTTGATATAGCCATGTCCGTCTGTCCGTCTGTCCGTCTGTCTGTCCGTCTGTCTGTCCGTCTGTCTGTTTCTACGCGAACTAGTCTCTCAGTTTTAAAGATATCGAACTGAAACTTTGCACACACCCTTCTTTCCTTTGCACGCAGTATATAAGTCGGAACGGCCGTGATCGGACGACTATATCCTATAGCTGTCATATAACTGAACGATCGGAAATGCCATAACTTTGGTGTTTGTAAAGTTAGGAAGTTGAGATTTTCTATAGGTTTTATTTTTGGCCAATCAATCTGACCTACCAAATTTCATGAGAATCGGCCGACTATATCTTATAGCTGCCATATAACTGATTGATCGGAAATGCCATAACTTTGGTGTTTGTAAAGTTAGGAAGTTGGGATTTTCTATGGGTTTTATATTTGGTCAATCAATCCGACCTACCAAACTTCATAAGGATCGGCCGACTATATCCTATAGCTGCCATATAACTGAACGGTTGGAAATGCCATAACTTTGGTCTTTTTAAAGTTAAGAATTTGGGATTTTTTATGAGTGTTAAAAATGCATCATGTGAATAATTTTGGAGAATATAATATACATAATATTCTGCAAGGGTATATCAACTTCGGCTCCGCCCGAATTTAGCTTTCCTTTCTTGTTTTTCTTAAAAAAGATTATTTTTATTTATATTTATATTCTAGGGAATTACAGACTTGCAAACCACACATTAAGCCATTTAAAAATGTATCATTCATTTATATTGGTCTCGTGGTACGTATAAAAGTAAGGTAAACATTGCAGGTGTTTATTTTTCTTTGATTATATTATACTGCATTCAAACAAAAACTGTACAGATTTGTGCTGTTTAATGCTGTACCATCAAAAAGAAACAAGCACCTGTAATATAATTTCGTGTTTCTTTTTTATGATTGATTTATTGCTCATAAACTATACCGTTTCAGAAAGAAATGCTTACATTTTTACGTAAAGTGATTTTGTTTTGGTTTCTTCTTACGTCATTTTGCATTCAATATTTAAAAATTCCAAATATTTTACAGGGTTTATTTTAATATTTAATATCATTTATCAATTTATTGAGGCATTCAAAAAAATTCCGTAATTTGTCAATGACCTAAGGAGGCTGATCTTTATTTTTCTGAGCAAATGAATAATATTTTTGGATGATATGGATCATGATATGGACTTACCAGAAGAGTATTCTCAGCGAGTTGGCGACCAGCAGGGCTAGGCACACATAGAGTGAGAATCCCTCCGCATCCTGCGTCTTCTTGATCTCGATGTATTGGGGAACGTAGGGGATTACGCCCCCGATCACCATCGCCGAGGCGGCGGCCCAACCGACCACATGACCCACCGTAAGGCCCATCTCATCGTTGATGATCCAATCCATTGTGATGTGTTTATTTTTAAATTTGAAATTAACACTTAAATTTGGTTTGGTTTTCGGTTACTAGTTTCCTTTGTTGATTAGAATTTTAATTATTTGTATTTTGTCGATTTTGGGATATGTGTTTTTTAGTATTTGTTATTAATTTTATGTTTTTGTTGACTAGTTTAAAAGCCGGCGTTTGGAAGTAGTCGTTGTTGGTTTTTAAAGTGTCTGCTGGTACTTGCATTATTTTCAGTAATTACTATTAGTTTTTGAACAGTGTATGCAGGAAGAAAAGAGAGAGGAAGTCAGCTGTGTGTTATTGTTATTGCTGTTCTTGTCGTTCCGCTATGATCTTCTTTCGCACACCTACACACCCACACATTCACAAAAGATATTTATTTTCTCTCTCTTTCCTTCTATTATTTTTCGTGTGTTTCTGTTTTCCGCGTTTTTTCTATTGAATTTTCCACCGAATTTTCGCTTCCCTCTTCACGAATTGTCAGCAATTTTCCTGCGCACACTTTTCTGGCAGCGGAAAACACTAGACAAGAAAAACGCTGCAATCACAAATCGCTCCATTTCCACGCAAATACATCGGCACTTTTTATAAATGTTCTTTGCATTTCAATTGCATTTTCCCGTTGTTTGCCTTTTTTTAATTGAGTTAAATTTTTGTTGTGGCTGCCTTTGTTGTTGTGTTGTTGTTGTTTCGGGAAATTGTACGATATTTACTCGCTCGCTAATTGTTGTCGTTTGTCGCCTGTTTATAGCGATTGTTCTTCGCTTCGTTCACACTTTCGACGCCTGTCGGTGGGCAGTTTTTCTTTATCTCGCCTCAGTTTGCATTTTTTCTGCGAGTTTTCAAAGAAAACTATCCGCGGATCAACCGCACGCAAGCAAAAACAAAACGCAACAACAAAGCGAATAGAGCTGGAACATATGACGATGTTTATTTGATGACATCGATGGGTCCGAAAAATCGGGCGATATCGATATTTTCCCTATCGATAACTTTCAGTTGTTTCATAGTCGCTTATGCATTTTTATTTGTAAATTGTAAGGCAGTGAGCGGGCCAAAAAATCAATTTCTCGAAACTCGAGTATCACCAAATAATATTATTCTCTCCTTATCAAAACCAAAGTAAATATCAGCTGTGCAAAACAAAACATTTTAAGCTGGAACTACAGTATCCCTGGTAACTAAGACTGGAGCTTTTGGAACCAGTTCCAACCACTCTTAGAATAATCGGTCATCAGTAATTCGCGCGGGCTTTTAAAAAATGCTTTGGTCATACTTTTCTGTTTAAAAATTAAAAAAAATATGTTGAAATAAAATAAAATGGAAATACGGAAAATCCTAGTAGTATTAATTTGATAATTCACCAAGGACGTGACCAGGTGCTGCGCCTTGCGATCTGAACATCTTTTTAAATGGAGACATTGGAAATTCTAAATTGCCTCAGTAAATGCAAATAGTTAGATTAAAATTGTTTTTATTATGTGGTTATAATTGAGTGATTAAACAAGATTTGTACATTAGTCGCGAAACTTTTAGTGACTGTGAATGTCTTGATAGGCACATAATTAAATTGAATCGATCCAATTGGTTGATTCAATCACAGTTTCCAAGCCAATTTAATTCGATTTGCATTGACTTTTTTGCAGTTCCCAATTAAGCGATGTATGTCTAGGATCTGGAAATCTATGTCAAGAGCAACCAATTTCATGGTCACGGACGCGAGTTCCCTTCGATTCCGGCATAAATGTTATGAATTTGATTAGTCCAGTGACTTACCCATTCTATAGAAAAAGACATATATCATGTATAGAAATTACAAAGTTTGTAAAATAAATATTCCATGTGCATGCGACCTATTACTTAACAAATATAAAATAAATACACTCATGTTTGGATTTTATTTAAAATAATATTTATTGTGATAAATCGAAATTGCATATTCTTAACGCAGTACATTTTTTGACATTTATTAAAATCAAGTAAATTATAATTCCTAAAGTAACGCTCTATATGGCAGCTATACATTGTGGTTAACAATAATTTGGTTTCTGCTTTTTTGCAGACAAGCTAGTTAACGGCTAGGTTATTTTAGGTATTTCTTTATCTGCAAAACTACTTTATATCACGCTGTATATGTATGTGTATGTTTGGAGGAGGCTCCACTCAGGGAACCTTGTCACCTGAAATCTTGCATTAGTTCTTTCCGTATTTGCAGTCGTAGTCCTGCATGTACAAACTGCAGTAGACGAGCCAATCTTTCGAATCTGTGGGATCAGCAAGGCAGCGGTTAGGATCATTTAATATGCTATTATACTTTGAGCAATTATCTACTTTGTTAGTATGGTTTAGGGTTTAGTTTTAATCCATAGTTAGTATGTGTTAAGTTGTTAGTTCGCAAAGATTGGAGAGAATATTAACCACAAATCAAATTTAACATTCAGGTACTGACAACCTAACAAAAGTATTTGTCTTTGGGGGAAAAGCTTAGGAACTGTTTGTTCTGGAAGTCATGGGATGAATTAGTTCATAACTTATCACAGTCTGATGATAACAGATACTCATAGAACGACTTAGAAGACTTTGATTGAACTCATTGGAAAGGCTAGGCGGAATATTATTTTTGGTATGAATTTCTTATTTTCTTCTTTGGATATGTCTTTTTAGCTACTCTGAGCAATGGTCCATCTAAGGACTAAGCAAAGCTCTTCTATTATTTGGTTTAGGCCTAAGTTGCCACGAATCTTAATGCGTTAACAGACTTATCTCTTCAGATACAACCGCGAATCCAATTCGTTAGCTATATAAATATATCTATGACTAATAAAATGTTTTAACTATATCAAAAGAGTGCGCGACGTGTCTGTAAGTTGACAATATTTGGTTATGGTTTTAAAGTAAGTTTACGATATTATCGCTTTGGTCATTAGTTATTTCTCTGCTGTCAGCTCTCTATCCACTCCAATCCACTCCAGTATCGTCTCTAGATGGTGTTGCGCAGAGCCTTACCTGGATTCCTGATCGATATGAAGGGTATCCCGAATTCGAACTCGTTCTTCGGCCAGTACTTTAGTAGGGGCTGTCTCTGGGGCAGTTCCGATTCCACGTAGAAGTAAGCGAACAGCACCAGCACTGTGTACGCTGCGATGAAGATGAATATGTGCCAGAAGCCGTGCAGGTACGGAAAATTGATTGCCGACCAGGCCTCGCAGAAAACCCGATCATTAATCCAGCAGAAAACGGCAACAGCCCAGACAGTCGTAGATCGAATACCCAGGCGGTAAACCCTCTGGTCTCGTACTCTGGATGGGATTAGAATGAACAAAGGCAAGATATATCAGAGCTGTGACTAATAAAGTACATTTCCATTACTGATTTTAATGTTATTTTAAACAATATAATGTCCATAAAACAAATTGCATTATCTCTTAAATAGTCTTGAGCAAGGTGATAAAGACGAGCATGTGTACATCATTGCATTAATGACAAGCCCAAAGGATCCCCTTTTCGAGGCCACAGTCCTTTGGAATAATCGCACCCAGGAGCTGTCGCCCATGAATGTGGAGGTTCTAAGTCGATTGAACTCCTACGAAAACGATTACAATTGCATAAATAAAAAAAATGCCAAAAAAATCTGCATATGCAAGGATAGTTTCAATTCTACTAGAGAAGATTAAAATAATACATATTTAATTTATTAGAGCAAAGTAATACATTTTGCAGCTTATGGTTTTATGTCGCATGTATTTGGAAAAGAATAAATTAAAATATACGAAAATAAAATTTAACGTTCTTGTTAAAAAAATTCTTAGGAAAATTTAATGATAAATAATAATTAAATAAAATAATAATAAATAATCCTATCTCCAGGGATATGAGAATTCCTCACAGTTGAAACCCAGATCCGTCAAGCATTACTCAATTTTGTGACAGGTGTAAATCACAGGGGAATATTCAGTGGCACATTAGCTTCCTACACCAATATAAACAGAGAGCCCTTGAGTAAATAAACTGCTGTAGTGCTTCTACTTAAGGCTTATCTTAATTACACCCTCAAAACGAATAAAATAATTGATTGATTGATTGACAAACCGCTACTTTTTTCAGAACATATGTTCTCGCTGCAGGGAAACACCTTTTGGTTTCGATCTTTGAACTTGTCGGCTCATATCGAGTATGACAAAAAAGGTAAATTGAGTAAATAAATGCTGATAAGGTTGAAATAGTTTCACAATCTATTTAAATAGAAACTCAGTTCAGCTTAGTACACTTGTTCCCAACGATAAAACACAATCGCACTCACACACGATAATAAGGATGAGTGATGATAGATACATGATTTATGGACTTAGTTCATTTCGGGTCACCAAGCGGCAAATCAGAACAGACGCTTATCAGTAAGACCCTCGAATTTATGAGTTATGGAGTGTTGGTACGGGGAACTTACCTCTGTAGCTCCGTGTAGAGCATTATCATGGTCGGTATACTCATGAACATAAGAACAAAGGCATTAACAATGGGCTTCCACCACGACAAGCCCGTTGCGGCGATCGCAGACATCAGCATGAGCCAACTGAAGGTTTTACTGAAAGACAAAGAAAACCGAAAGTCGGGGAATTAGATAGGCTGCCTACTCAAGATATCAGTTCGCTCTGCACTCACCGATCGTTTTTCACGAACTTGGGATAATACCGCTTTGGATAGAATAGCGAAAAGGCAGCCATGAAAACCCAGAGAATGGCCAGTTCATCGAGAAGTTGGCCAATTAGGCTGAGCGTAGCGTGGAAATACATTGAACTCAGACCAACCACAATGAGTAGTACCCATATCACATGGATTCCTGGGGTTACAAAGCGTCCGTACTCCTTGAACAGCATTATCAGCACAGGCGGGAGGAGGATAAACAAAAAGTTGCTAAACTGTAATAGAGAAATTATTCAAAACATTAATTATATTGAAACAAAACTTATTTATACTAGTTGAGAAATCTTCAAATATCTATGTTGGTAGAGTAAATGTTAAGATCTTGAAGATGGTAACTAGTTTCAGATTGTTATATTTTGCTTTGTTTTTATCTAGAAATCGTATCCATTTGTCTGTGTGTCGACATTATAAATAATTAATTATGTTTGCTTTCCTGTCTTTAACGTGTCACTACGACAATTTGCACACTGTCACGTAAATTTTTTAACAAATTGAATTAAATGCAATTATTTTGTGTGGGCAACAAAGCGAGAAGTGGAGCAATTATCACATTTAAAAGGGTGATGGAACAACATCTACAATTTTGTATTCTATTAAAGCAATTGATAACGAATGGGTTAGGCCACACAAGCCATTATTTATACTTCTTATTTGTAAAGATATTTACGACTGAGCAGTATACTATATGCCGCTTCTTTATTGTGCAGTGGGGTGTCAAGATCGGAGGCCATTCACTCCATATGCACAACTTTTTGTTGAGCAAACTCAATTAAAACAACGCCGAAATGCGTTTTAAACGATTTGCACTTCACGAAGTATTACTCATAACGCGGAAAGCAATCCCCGGTATCACCAATCATTTGAATTGCTGTTCTAGATTTTTATTTAATGCTTTTTTATTTCCCATCGACCTAATAACCAAGGAACTGATGATAATGAGTTCCGTTTGAATCGTGAGATTTGAGTGTTACGACATTCATACATATGTATAATAACAATGAAATGTGGACTTTATAGATTAAGATGCTAAAACTGATCTCCTGGAGATTGACAAGTATTTAACTCGGAATACAGATTTTCTAGTTTTAAGTATGGATTCATTATTAAAGAAATTCAACTAGGGATTGTAGTTTTCATTATTCAAGTAAAGTATTCAATGATGCGAACTAAGCATTTCGTATTTAAGTATAACAAAAAAATATTTATTGGTCTAAAACATTGTTTTACTAAAAAATATAAGATAAAATAAAACAAGATGTGGCACAGTCATCATTTTCCTTAGTTGTTTGTTTATAAAAATTGCGTTTCTGTTAACGGTAAACATCGGGCGATTACCATTGATAAGACATAATGAAAGTGAGTCCGACACATATCAAGTTACGTTTGTTGGACAGCTAAACTTAATGAGAATTGTAATCAATACCTGTCGTTTCCAACCCATGTTTAGTCTGAATGTTTAGCCCATGATGGTATTAATTTATATTTTCTTCAACGAATGGCCATAGCCTAGTATCTTTAACGATTTTATGTAATTTCAGATTCAAAACTTAAAGAACTGAAAATTCAACCTAAACTTAGTTTATTTGTTTCATATCGATCTGTCTGGAATAACGGTTGCATTATCAACAGATGTTAATTACGATAAGAAAATTGCAGCTGCCGCACTGCGAATTTGCAATATCACTCCATCTCCCTCACACAAACGAAGTGTGGCTAACAGCATCTTTTGTTTACATTCTGTTAGTCTATCTCTAAAAAGGTCAAGGCCTAACGTAAAAGCAAAATTGTGTGTGTGTGTGTGCGACGACAACAACAAAGCTAACTAGAGCGGAGCTGAATATATGAAAATAAGTTGCACATACGCACCGTGTTCACAAACTCGGCTATGTTGGACGAAATCAAATAATTGCCTTCGCACCAATCGACGGGCGAACTTCCGGGTCTCAGATGCTCCCAGGCCATGGCGTAAATATCCAGCAGGCCACCGCCCCCCATCCCGACGCCCATTTGTCTCCCACTTTATGGAGAGCCGAAAACAAAGATCACAATCACAGCTGGCTTAATGAGGGTTTGGGTTCTTTTCTCGCTTTACCAAGGCACTTTTTGCATTTGTTTTTCTTTTCTTAGGCCAGCTGCAGTGTTGTTGTTGTTTGGCCTGCACTTTGCATAATAGCACAGTGTGCAAGCACTTGCGTGTCTTTGTTAATTAGCTTTTGTATACCAGTTGTCCTATTAAATTAGAAATTATTCTTTAGTTATTTAAGGATTTTCAATTTTTTCTTCGTATGACAGTCACACAATCTACGACGTTTGGCGTACTGCGAAGACGCACAAGAAAGTGCACTATTTTAAATAATAAACCCCAGCGCGCAACGACCGACGCGATAATGAACCAAACAAAAATAACAACTGTGTGACCGCAGCCAACTGACCGTTAAAATATTTCTTGTGTCTCATTAAATCTACTAAAATATACCTCTTACATTTGCGAAAATACCACAAAACATATATTAATTGGCAGCTACAGTAAAGTTCCTTTAAAAAGTACATATATAGCCCCAATTTTTATAGAATGAGAGATGGCATAAAATTCCTTTGTCATTAATTGCTATTTTGGTGCATGATTTCCGAATAAAAAACACCGATACAATATTTTCAAACTTATGACAGCCCTGGCTGACGACTATCGTTTACCAACACCGTTCTTACCTTTACTCCTCCCTAGCCGGCACGCTGTGTGTTCCCTCCGTCGTTTTTCAAATAATTTGTTTTTTCCGTACATATAGACCCAAAGGACATGTTTCCGCAACGCAGCTCGGAGGTTTACCTTACTCCGGTTACCCACCAACCACCGCCGGCTCTGGAGCTGGCCGGGAACCTGGAGTACCCGAATCTCAACGTTGCGGATCTGAATGCCCGCCTGGAGAACTTGTCGCCGCGACTCCACGACTGCTGGGACAGTATTGCCATCAATGAGCACAACCAAGTGGCACTGGCCACCAACCGACGCGAAGGACGCCACTGGTGGGGCATGTTCTTTGGCTACGGACGCAGCCATATGAACCACATGACTGTGGATACCGCTGACTTCAAGCTGCAGGCGGATCACACGGTGAACCTGCTTCGATATGCCGAAAATGATGTCCTATTGGTGGCCCTCGGCGATACACGCCTCCAGGCCTGGTCCACTTACTCCAAGGTGCGCAATCCGCAGTCGCCCTTCTGCCTCTTTCTCGTGGGCGAGTCCAGCGCCCATCCGACGCCCATTAGCCAGCTGAACGTCTTCAAGGCGGATACCCGAAGAGCCGTCACCGCCTCAGCTGATGGCACACTCAATGTATGTATGCAATAGGTGTTTGAAGATCAGAATTAAAGAGAACTTTGTTACAGGTCTGGGATCTTTCGGGTGCAGATCTGGAGTGCTCCTACCATTCACGCACCTCGCACACGGATAAGTTGACCGGCCTAAGCACACCCTCAGCCTCGGTCGATAAGTTTGTGACCTGTGATCGCGGTGGAAGTGCCCTCCTCTGGGATGTCAGGGCAGCGGCTCCGTCTTCTACGTGCCTGTACGCAGACTCCAGTCATCTGCTGAGCTTCACGTGCGCCGCCTGGGCTGCTTCCACGGAGCTTCAGGGTGACAATAACCTTTATCTCGGCGACTATGACGGAAAGGTTTATACTCTGGACATCCGAGTGCCGCGGAAACTGGTGGAATCTCGAGAGTACTTTGACAAGGGACACGTCTCGCAACTTTTAATAAATGGGTAAGTTTTTTTAAATGCTTTCAAAAACAGAATTTAAGATTTCATTATTAAGTAAATAAGTTAATCGCATATACTAACCATGTATTGTAATAGTAAATTGAAAATGCTAGTGCCCTAATAATGGCTATAGGATTTGTTGTCATTAGTAATCACTTTTTAAACATTCTCTTATTATTTCTAGGCCCTATCTGACCGCCATGAGCAATTTTCCTTCTTCAGTGAAAGTGGCCAATGTGCAGGCGGGCCATGAGTTCATCTACACGCACCAGGACACTCACTCTCGCACCACGGATGCCGTTTGGACTGATGAAAGCACCCTCGTCACCATCGGACATGGCCGCAAAATGGTGACACATTCGATAAAGTAATTTAGCTGGAGATCAATTTTCTTGTTTTTTTTTGCATTTAATTTTATTAAAGCTATATTTTCTTTATGCTTGACCTGAATGAGGTGCTATGACTTTAGCTTATACATTTGTTATATACCTCTATTAATATATAAGTAGACGTAAAATGACTTCCAAATAAATTGTGAAAACAACTATCTTGACGCTGAAAATACTTTTTGTATTTTTATATTAAACCATTTGTTTGAATTTGATTTGAATTTGACTAAATGTTTAAAGCAAGCGATGTTGCCATAGTTAAGTGCCTCGATACATTATTTTCATGGCCACTTTAAGAAGAAGCTTTAAAAGATTTGTTTAACCCTCCTAATTAATAAAATATAAACACAAGAAATAATATTACTTGAACAAATTCCATTGCTTTATTTTAAAAGGCTCAATGGTTCGCTGAAGAGTCAAATTAAATTACTCGTAATTATATTCCAATGGAATGGTAGAATTCAGATCGATAAGAAGCTTAAAGTAATTGTGAATGAAATGCCAAGAAATAAATGCAGTTTAACAAGAGTACTCAGGCATGATGAAACTTACACTAGACAACACGTAAAAATAAACAACCGCAAAAAAATACTTGAATAGCCAATACACTCAAAGGCGGCGGTGTCGGCGGTTTGGGAAAAATGTTATCGCTTAATTTTTCCAGAAAATTAAAACCTTTTCACGCCTCGACCTTTAGGCATCAACGATTGAATTTTAGAAACGAGAGTTAACGTCGCGATCGCTTGGTGGGCGGTTCGAGAAAGTTATTCTCCTCCTCCTCGATCTCCATGCTCTCGAGCTTCATCAGCCCCTTAGCCTTCTGCAGCATTTGCGCATCCCGCAGCCAGCTGCACTGCAGGACGTCATCGATTGAGGGTCGCCTTTCGGGATCCACAATGAGCATTTGGTTGATCAGCAGCTTGGCGCGCTGCGAGACACGCTTCCATGCAGGATGTCCGTAGGCAAACCTGCCCTTCTTAATCTGCTGGGCTGCTGGAGTTCCGTACTCGTCTGAAAATGGCAGAGTGCCACTCAGACTGAAACAAATAAGTAAATTAATATTTCATATTCTCCTAATAATAGTTCCAATTTACTTACCAAGTAAAAAGCACTACGCCCAAGCTCCATATGTCTACTTTTCGGGTGTAGGCTTCGCGACCGCCGGTTATCAACACCTCAGGAGCCACATAGAGCGGAGTGCCGCAGAGAGTCCGCATCACCGAGTCCTTCTGCACAAACTTGCTCAGCCCGAAATCGGAGACCTTCAGCAGGGTCTCCTCGTCGTTGGTCTCTAGCAACACATTGTCAGGTTTCAAGTCGCGATGTGTTATACCTAACAAATACAAAATAAATTAGCAATTCACTTATCGAAGTAAAATAATATAAAACAAGGTTTACCTCGATCATGAAGGTACTTTACGGCATGGCACATTTGGTAAAAGTAAAGCTTAGAAGTATCCTCGCTCAGCAGCTTGTTGCTGATGATCCGGTTGAGTAAGTCACCGCCCCGCATAAACTCCAGCACCATGTAGACTGAGTCGGGTTTGTCTACGATGTCGTGCATGCGAACCACACACGGATGGGATAGATTCTTCATGATCTTTGCCTCATTTAACACCCGATCGGGATCGCTGAAATTTGTACTGGGGCGCGCACTGCCAGACAGCATATTTTTCTTTACTATCTTCATAGCAAACTGCTGGCAAGTCCGGGTATCGTATACAAGACGGACTAGGCCGTAAGCTCCAGATCCTAACTTTTTGTTAACATAATACGCCTTGTTAATCTCCTCGGGCAGGCCGACCGACTCGTTTGGGCTGAGATCCTTGAATACAAAGGCTACAAAAGGAGGCAGGTGCAAAACATTGAATTACATGCGAATCTCTACAGGTTTCTATACCTGTTTGCCGATGGCTTACCTTTGTAGGTGGGGTGGGATAGGGAAATTACATCGTCGTTCTTCAGGATCCGCATCTTGTTTGTTCCAATTTTTTCATTATTCACAAAGGTCCCGTTGCGTGAGAGATCCTGAGAAATGTGTGGAAACAAAGGTTATTACATTGAGGAATTTCCGTTGATAAATCTGGAGAAAATGGGAGTGATGGTAAGCAAAAATCTGGCAAATTGTAAAAGCCATCCATGTAGATTCTCGTTTATATACTTTATAACCGAGTTAATTAATATATGCCCATTTTGTTATATTTTTTAAGAATGTTCAAGGTTATATCCCCAATTTTCGTTTTAGATTCCCACCTACCTGAATGTAAACTGGATTGGTAAGCTCGCAATTTGCCCGCTTGATGATAAAATGCACCTTCGAAATGCGCGTCAGGATTTTTTCGGGCAAATCGTTGAGTGTGAGAATCAAATCGTTGGCCTCCCCTCGTCCTGCGGTGAACTCGTCATTGTTGAGATCTGAAATCCGTTCAAGTTGGAAACATTATTACTAATAAGTGCTTTGGACAAAGGATTAAAACACAAAACAGGCAGGAAATTTGGTTACCAACAGAAAAGGACGAATGCGTATAAAGAATTCGGTATTTCGAGCTCGTACCCAACGATTTGATTTTAATATTTTTTCCGTACAATCGTCCCCAGACGATTTTCTCCATCGGCTGGCTCTCCACTTGCGTCCAGATATTGGAGGCCTGACTTTGGGTTCCCTGAGTTCCTTGGGTGTCGCGTGCCATGTCTTCTCCGTAAATTTCTATAATTCGCAACGTCGCAACTCGGTAGTTCCGTAATTCGAACTTGAAAGCCCGTTAAGTTTCGCGAAAACTGCGCAAATTCGGAATGTCCAGTTATTCGGCCACCACCACAGGCTCAGTCAAAAACACACACACAGTATGTGAACGACGGTAAAGTTATATATCCTGTAGATTTTCTGCCTGCTTAGCGTTTTCTATGCGCTATTCGATTACATCGAGCTTGTCGCACAGCGCTGGCAAAGGATTATTTTAAGTTTCTCATACAAAAACAACGAAAAGTGACAATAATCACGACATGGATGCGAACTGCGCGACGGACTCAAAGTTTTAAGACTGTGTGTGTGAGAGTTGCCGCGTTCCAGGGATATAGTGCTAGTGTTGCCAAATGCATTCGATTATCGATAGAACGATATGCGTTATGATGGACGTGGCTTTCGATTTATTTATTCTGTTTGTTGTTAACATTTATGTCAACAGCATCTTGACAATTGGAAGAAATCCAAGTATCTATTTTGAATTTAACTTGGTATTTTAACGTATTTTGTAAGTCTCTAGCCCTGGTTCTGCTACTTTGTAGTTCCAGTTCATTTTCAGACGTTTTTCAGCACTACAAATAATAAATTGTTTTATGATTTTAATACTGTTTTTGTAATTGTTTCTTGCGGTCATTTGTTGGTTTTTTCACAAGGAAACTAATATAAAATACTTTGAAAATGTTATATATATAGCGCAACAAATTGGATCTAAGCAAACTTTTTTAGCTTTTTTCCCGCTATTATTTTCCAGATATCTCGCCATCTCTTTAATGTTTTACAACACTGAAATTGCAATCGTTATGCAGCCCTAAATTGCGGCGTCGTTTGAAAGAAACTGTAAACTAGTACTAATACCAGCGCAGAATAAGAAATAGGAAAAATACAATCAACAAATCAAAAACAAACGTTTGTCGAAAATTGTAAAATTTCGCTGCCTGTTAAAAGAAACCAGTGCCTTTTCGTGTTGACCAGGGTGGCCTAGAAACACTAGCCTCCGGCAACCTGATTTCCCTTGGCTAGCAGTTCCGGATTTCCTGTTTCCTCACATTTATCCGGAAAGATGACCCTGCCGCGTTTGGAGACTCCGCTTCGGCGTTCCGCGGTGGGCAGTTACCACGAGGGCGTGTCCCGTATGATGACCCCGCTGAACGACGACGAGGCTGAAAGGCGGGAAGCCCGCCGGCGCACGCTACTCCAGCAGCAGCGCCAAAGTACCCAGGAGTCCATCGAGGACAACGAGACCATCCGCAATTGCCTGGAGATCTACAATGGCAATAAGTTGAGCAAGGACAACGCCTGGAACCTTACGCTCATCGATTCGCTAGCCAACCTGCTGGAGCACCATCACAAGCGGATGGGCAATTTCAAGGTGGGTTTGCGTAAATCCAAACTATGTAGAACCCCACTAAAATCGTTTGTTTTCACTCCAGATGGCGGGATCTTCGCTGGAGGCCTCTTCTAAGGTCTACGGACTGCGGGTGGACTCCATCTACCTGGATGCCATGCGCATTTCAGCTGGCTTAAGTGCCCGCACTCTCACAGATAAACAATTAAACGCTGCCGAGGATGATGATGGGCCACCAGGTGATCAGACGGCTGGCGAAGGGCAAAATGCGGCGGATCAGGCCCAAAAAGAAGCTGCACCAAAGCCAAAGAGACAAAAGAAGAATGTGTCCACCGTGACCAAGAACAAGGACACGCTGAACAGCCGCCTGGATACGGCACCGTTGCAGGATCCTGTCTTTGGCAAACTAAACTCTACAGTGGGCTCCATCAACGCATCAAATCGCCTGATGCACAATATTCTACCCAGTTCAGATTCCGAGTTGCGTCTGCGCACAACCTACAGATTCTGGGACAGTCAAGAGTCCGCCGAGGAGGTCCAGGATCACACTACTCTCAACGCAGACATGGAGGAGTGGCCAGCTGAGTCGCTGGTGGGCTGCGCCTGGATGCGCAAACTTCTAAACAATGCTGAAAGATTGAATCTGCGCCCTCTGCACACGGGCTACATCATCACAAGTGCACCTAATCCTAAGGCGTCGAACGACAAGCCTGCAGAGCCCACGTTGGATGACGACCAGCATGATGAGGGTCTAGATAATGCTGACGATATGTGCGTAAATGAGATATCCATGGCCTTCGACATCAATGCCGAGTGTGAACCCATGCCGGACTTGGATGGACCACCGCCCCTGGTCCTGGAGGTGGACTCCAATGAGCTCGAAGAGCTCACCACCGAGGAGCAAATGGTGATCAACAATTGCCGCCGACTGCGGAAGCAGACAGAGTTCATCGAGGACTTGCGACCGGTAGATGGAAACTCCAAGCTGGAGTACTCATACAGGCCAATGGAGCAGATCTCCCAGTTTTGGGCTGGACCCTCCCACTGGAAGTTCAAGCGCACCCGACCGCGCAGTACATTTTCCCAGACCACTGGTCAGGCGGATGCTCAGCCCGTTCGCAGTCAGCGACCGAAGAAATCGACGCATCTTACCACCAATCGTCGTGCAAAGGCCGTAGATTACGGCAATGTGACGGAGAACTTCTTTCAACCACTGGATACATCTATTAGGCAGCGCCGCGTAAACTTCCAGAAGAAGTGGGACCCCCGAAAACTTATACTGCCCACCAAATTCAACTTGGACCCAGACTATTTCTTCAAATACGAATCGGCGCCTAGCATAAAGGTATCGCAGCGTGCGGGGGAGCCTGATTCGGACGAGGGCGGAGATCTTGGCATTGACATGGGAGCTGACATCCATCACGATGAAGACAACGATCAGGAGCTATTCAACAATGAGCACTTCACCGACGCTGTTCCCGCCAACGTGAGCGTTATTGCGGCGATTGCCGCCGAACAAGGGGCCGAAGGCATGATGGATGTGGACGCGGGCGAGATGGGTCTTACCCAAATGAATGCCACCTGCAATAACACATTCTTCGAGATTGGCACAGAGTTCGTGGGTGCGCCTTCGCAGGTGAGTCTTCCAATCAATGGAAAACCTTAATTATCTTAAGTCAAACATTGTTTGTTAAAACTTTAACCAATCAGTAAAATCAATATAATTTCAAAAAAATTAATATAAAATGTATGCTTAGCTCAATGTACTAAAGCGAACTGACATATATTATTTATTATCTATTATTTCTAGGTTGCCAAAGTAATTGTTCCATTCGCAAAGCGAGCCAAGGTGATAGACATGAAGAGCCTGAAAAAGTCCTGCAATTCCCTTATACAAAAACAATTGCTAACAGATGTCCCTGAGGAGACGATACCTTCGCATCCAAAGAAAAAGGACGAAGATTATTCAAAGGGTGTGGCGAGTTTCCAGGAGGTGTACACCAAGCTGCCCAACCTACTAACCACCAAAATGGCCGATTCGCTGTCACCATCGGTAGCCTTTTATGCTGTTCTACATTTGGCCAACGATATGAAATTGCGCCTTATACCACAAGAAAATTTAGAGGATTTTCAGATCCGGCAAGTCTTGGATTAAATTCATGTAATAACTATCATTTAAGTTGTCTATTATCAATGTTAAAACACCATTGTTGCACGGCTATCCCTCAATCTCTTATCTTTTATTGTAACTTAGTAAACGTAACTCGTATCAGTATTCCCCAAAGAAATACCTACAGCCCAGTCGAATCACATATTTTATAAATAAACGAAGCAAGGTTCTGGTGAACTATGATTTTATAAATTATTTAATAAATAACAAAATAAAATAATTTAGAGAATGTTTTTATGCAACATTTTAAAAGGATAATTATTATTTACTAATTTGCAATAATTGGCAATAATTTTTGTATGATAAATGGCAAGTCCTTAAACCGAATTATGTTTGCTTTAACTATATATGCTGTATTCCAAACATCATATCGCCTACCAACTCTTTTTCCAGATGAAAGAATTAAAACTTTCGCATTAGTTTTGGCTGTTTATGTTGTGCTGGCGGCTCAGACATTGTTTTCCATTTCTGTTGCTCTTTCATTTGCATACTCGTATCAGTGCACACTGGCAGAAATTGTTTTGATTATTTCCTCATAACTTAAAATAACCAATTCTACAATTCACAGAAACTGGCGAATTCGGTTATAAAGTTGAAAGTCGCTGCTGACTTATATCTTTAAAACTTTTCAATCCTTTTTGTTACGACTTTAAACGACTGGTTTTTAAAAGTAAATAAAACGATGTGAAAAAACCTTTTGTAATCGAACTCTGCCTAATTTGTTTTATTTGTACTTTTTATTTTATGATAAGAAGTACAACATTTTCTCAGTGTAAGTATACGGAATTGTAAATTTAAAGCGCAAGGTTTTTTTTCCGCCTTTTTTAGTTGCAAGTGGGTTTTGTCGCCTCCTGAAGAGGATTTTCCAGTGCATCTGTGTATGTGGGACACATATGTGTGTGTTGGCTGCCGGTGTGTTTGTGTTTGTTAGAAAAGTTCGGTGTTTACAGAACGCTTTTAGGTGCCGCTTGCGTGTGTGTGTAATTGCATATTATTTGCATAAATATTTGCCGAGTACTGAGTAACGTTGGGCGTTATACTGATTACACTCCGTACATATGCGACCCAACAAATGATGTTTTTGTTCAGATGGATCGTTTAAAGACATTTTCACAAAACTTTTGACATTAGCAAATGACACAGGAAATAAAGTTTCAGCCCAAATGTTTTTCCTGCTTTCCTTTTTATCCTTTTGAAATTTCAGCGGTTGAATCTAAATGATTTCCAATTCAATTTACTGAGCTTGCTGTTTAGTTTAAACTAGTAGCCAATTTTAAGCCTGAAACTTAATTATAAAAAGGATCCTTTAAATAGGTTTAAGTTCAGTGATGCAGTGAATATTGTAATTTATCGTATTAAGCAAATTTAACTTCCAAAAATCAACATACAATATTCTTCAAATAGTTTCCTAGTAATATATTTTCCTATTTATAGTTTTCAGTTTCCAAAAAATTATAACGTTTCAAATTTAGCTTTATTACCTGATGCTGTTGTTAAATAATTTGAGAGCCATGCATTTAGAATATGCAATCTTTCCACAGCCAAAAATAAACTCTTTTACCACCCACAAAAATGTTATCCTCATAAAGTGCATTTTCGTGTTGAATTTTCAATGCTGCATGCAATTAACTGGAATAATATGTTTCATGTAGGGAGTAGAGCAATTTCAGCTAACACACATTCCCGTACATTAGGAGTTGAAAAGTTAATTATCAAAACAAACATCAACAACGACTACCTGGTGAAACAGGGCGGTTGGAGGATAAAGTTAATGGCTGTCATCACACAACAGGTGGGAGGCCAAATGTCCTTGCCTCCTGGCGGATTATTTGACTTTGGCCATGATAATTCTCCAACCCATTCGCAGCTGCCATTCTCATCAGAGTTTTTTGTTTCTTGTTTGGTCTCGGTTTAATTTCCTCACATTTGTTGCTTAATCCCATTATGACAACAGTTTGCATACTCTGTGGGTTCCTAGGTTTATAATTGTTGCCAGTTCTAGTGGATCGGTGAGCTGTATGCAGGAAAACCTTCAGGAAAAGTTGGAAAACACTTTCTACCAGTAATTTCGAAAAGTTTTAAAAAGAAAGGGAAATAGCAGTAATAAACTTTTGGCATATAAAAACACAAGAACCTCATCAAATTTATTCTATTATTAAGAAAGAAAATGGTTTGATTTTTACTCCATCTGAGTTATTTATTTGTAGCATAGATCGAGTAAAATATGTTTGCTTTTCATTAATTATTCCTGCTCTTTTATTTACATTCATGATATAACATTTATTAAAAGGTATATTTGCGTATATACTGATATATATCGCAGGAAACGGTTTTGACAATTTTCATCGGAAAATTGCAGTCAGCGGGATATGGATTTTACCACAAAGTGTATTTTCTTTATCATATTTTTGTTTGGTAAACAATAATTTCAATGATGGTGTAAATTAAATATACAAAAGTGTTCTAACAACATTCAGCTTTATGCTTGTTTGCTTTGTAATTGATTTCTCCTTTTATTAAAGTACATCAATAAAATTTCAATAGACAATGTTCATCGTATATATATAGTCGTATAATATAATAGTTGATATACATATATTTATAATTTGTAGCACACATAATATAACAAGTGTTACCGTAATACAGCTTTCGGGGGCCTCTATGTTTTTCAAACACTTCCATCGTAACATTAAATCGAAATTCGCTTACAAGTTTAGAAATCAAGAAGTTTTTCATTAATAGAATAATGTTTTTTGTATAGAGTTTAAGTGTTATTCTAACAAATTTGCGCTATTTTAAAAGGTTTCATAATTTTTTTTTGTATATACATTGAGTCTAAAAGTTTTTGGGGGCATCGAATAATTTTAAAGTTGTTTAATTGAGCATATTAGGAATAAAGAGGCCATACAATTTTGATGAGTTGATGCTGATACATACTCCAAACTTTTTAACTTATTAAACATAATTAAATAATTGGAAATATTTTGAAACTTTTTGTTCAATTGAAACTCAAAATGAAGTTACTGAAAATTAACAAATACTTCAATTTACTTGTAGTCGATATTGTTGTTTTACCTTGTATTACCTGCGCATTGTTAAAGTTAACGGAAAAAATATTTATGTAAGTTTTGGTTTTATTTTTAAGTTGCCCAAAACCAAAAGTTACACATAAATAGTTAACCATATGTGTATATATATAAGATATATGTTCATTAGTATGTATTTCATAGCCCATTTCTTCCTGCGCCTCTCAAAAATGCTTTCAAAAACTTTATCTGACTTGGGTTTAATATGTTTCTGTATCTTTTTTGGCATTGGATATTGACCGTGTAGCTTGCTTCCGATTTCTTTTAATTGTTTCCATTCTCCTGCAGTTCCTTCACATGGCTATATTCAATAATTTAGTTCTGTGTCTTGGGCGGGACCGATGAAGTTTCCTCCGGAGTGTGCTGAGTTTTTAGAAAGAGTTCTGTATAAAGGGGAATATATGTTTTGTAGGTTTTGAACCCTACCTTCTGTTGAGAGGGAGCTTTGCCAGTGCTTCGGCCCCATCGCAAACGCATCGGCTTACGGGCCTCTCGCTGGAACTCGGATGTGTTCTCCTCCAGATCCGCATCGGTATCCTCATCGTTGGCATAACTGGCCACATTCTCGGGCGATTCGTACTGCTGCAGGGCCATGAGCATGCGGCGCATTTTCTGCGAGTTCAACAGAGAGTTGTACAACTGCGAGCGTTCCAGCTGGAAAAAAAAATAATAGTGATTTAAAATGAATTAAATCTCTTATTCTGTAAAATAGACCCTGGCCCTTTAAAGATATTGGATTTACATTTTTATTAAAAACATTTTAAAAGAAGGCCGCATCTGTTTGATTTCGTAAAAAAATTTTATTTTGTAATTTTTTCCTAAAATTTGAAACCTAAACATTTTATTTATATATTTTGGTAAAACATTTCTAGGCCTTGCTTTTGAGTACTTTCAATTAATCTTTAATTCTTGTTTAGTATATTAAAAAATTTATGCATTTTAAATAAGGTGTGTAATTTTTTTTTACTTTGTAGTATAAATTAAATTACCTGTTCATTGTCGGCACTGTTTGCCTCGAACTGGGGCACACTGCGTCCCCAGCGAAGACGCTGTGGCTTTCGCACCACCCGCTCGTAGAGGCCATCGTAGTCGGCGCCCAGATCGGAGTCGCCCTCGGAACCCAACTGCTGCTGCTGCTGGCTATTGAGGGTCAGCTCCCGCTCCAGCAGGTCATCGTAGGCGGTGCGACGCATCTGGGGCAAGTTGGGATCCCGCCTGCCGAATCGCAGGCGCAGCGAGGGCGACCTGATGGGCTTCTGGTTGACATCGCCGAACCAACGCTTCTCCACAATGTTGTTCAGCATGTCCGGATCACTGCGTCCAAACCGGAGGCGCAATGAGGGCGAACGTTGGGCCTTGCGTTCCACCTGGTGATTGGGAAAGACCACGGGACCGGCGTATTCACGCTGCAGCAGATTATCATATAGATTGCTCAGCGGAGTGCCTACAAAAGAAGTCTTTAGAGGATTGCTGAACCACTGACGAATGCATGGGATGGTCACCTTGAACTGGGGACAGCTCCGCCTGGGCGGGCTGCTGCATCTGGAGAGCCACCAGGATTATGAGGGCCAGGGCACAGCCTTGACTCAGTTGGGGCTTCAAATGAAACATTTCTACTTATAGCGCTTGCCTTGCGTTGATGAGAAACTGTAAGGAAGGAGAGTAAAGATGAGAGATTACAAATACAGTCTTCACAGTTGTGGTCAAAGAAATATCTCTGAGAATTCTAAATCTAATACAAAAGCACAGAATTTAAGTCTTCACTTCACTTTTGTAGTACATAAGAGCTTAGAAAAAAATTCGATTGTAGGTAACTATTTTAAAATTAAGATGTGTTGAATTCATTTTTGAATTTTCCAGCACATTGTTAAGATCTATTCGTTTGACTGTAACTATAGATTTTCGTTTACTGCAAACGTATTGCATCCTTTTCTTTTCATTTGTCAACCAGAAATAAGTAACAAGTATCAAACATTTACAATATATGAGTGTGTATTTTAAATATAAGTCTTGTTCCAATTGCAGTGTCCACACAAAAGGTTAGGTGAACATTGAAATCGAAGGTTGCTTTACATTTTTTTGCTAGTGAAAACCATATTTTGTCCACTGCATTGCAATTTATGAACGAAAATTATTCATGACTGCACCTGAATGGGCCGCATATTCGAACATTTTCAATGCTTTTTTGTTCGCAAATTGTTAAAGCCATCGAAAGGTTAGATACCAGAAAAACCCAACAGCTGCGCCAATGCCACCATTAGTTGCCACCATTTTTTTTATAGAAATTTATATATTTTACCAAATGATGTCATGGGTTAATGGCTTGCCTAATGGTCGGGTAGAAAAAGGATTTCCCATTATTAACAATTTAAAATAATCAATAGAACTGCAATTTTTATTTTCCGCCCAACATAGACATGAGCTAGACAAAGCAAAGGGCCCTCATGCATTTCATATGATATCTAAGACCCTTCGCTCATTGTAATTCGCTTCAGGCGTCATATGTTCATTTTACAGAAAAAAGAATAAGGCCAGGAAAATGGCAATTGAATTATTTATAAGAGAAAACACACATAGACGTTGGTTAAAGTGAGACGAAGGAAAAGGGATGTGGAATTGCAACTGTAGGGTTGAGTTTTGATGAATCCAGTCAGGATGCTGATAGATGGCTTACCTCGAGGGCAGCACCCCGAAGGCAAGGAAAAAATGAAGTCCTTGTGATGAGGAGTGTCTGAACAATAGCCTGCAATGAGGATGCAACATTATGCACAGCAGTCTCTCAACAGAAAGAGACACTTTCCCCCAAATGGGGTTGAAATTTCATCTTTTGTTTTTGGACTTTTTTTTTCTTCCTGTCGTTTCAGGCGGAAGTTGAAAGTTAAGCCTTTGCAACAGCATCGTCGAAAAGGAAGACAGCTTGGAGCGTTAAGTGCTGGCGAAATATTTTCTTAGGAGCTGGCTGTGGATGGCTGGCGATGCAACTTGTCGTATACGTGATAGCCTGCGTATACGTGATGTCAGCAACGCAAGCCGGAAATTGAAATGTAGTTAAGGCAAGGGGCACGTTCCATGGTGGCTAATAACTAGATAATTCGAGTACCTTTAACAGCCAATTTAATTATTTATTTGAATTATGAAGAAAAGGTTGACTTTTAAATTAGGAAATTCGTTTAAAAAGAATTCTCAGATTTATACTCTTAGGCTTTAACGTCGAGAGTGTTCATGTTAAAATTAAAGTAGGTTGTCAACGGAGAAATCTTAAAGAACTAGAAAAAATATTTGCTATTAATAATATGTTATTCCTTAAAAAAGTTATTGTATACCCGAATAATAATGCTACAGATAAATTTAACAATAAGTACAGGGACTTGGAACTTGGAGACTTCTTCGAATTAAAGACTTAGAAAGTAGGTTCCTTAATCCTTGAATTTCCACATAATGGCATAAATATGCCGGCTATATGATTTACCATTCGCCCAGTTCCCAGTTCCCAGCCATCCATCTTGTCTGATGTCTGTCCAAGCCTTAATCGAATTGACTTTCGCTTTCCCCTTTTCTTGCTTTCTCTCGTTTTGGCCAATGATATCTCGGAAATGTCCGCCGGAGAGTGATTTGTTGGGCGGAAGCGTTGGCCAATTGCCTGGCGGAGTCCGGCCACTTGGTATGGAAATTCGGTATCTGTCTGTGTTTGCGAGTGGGTGCCTGGTCGATGAAATGTGCCCCCAGACTGCGCGACATTTGGGACGTTTGTCAAAATTGAAAGTGATTTATCATCGCTCTCTAGGGCGCCTTCTTGTTGGCTTTTTGACGAATGACGAATGAGTTGTGCGATATCTGCTAGATAATGATGCTATTTACGTTTGAATATGCCGTTTGCTCGTCGGCCACTGAAAGCCAGATCACAGTTTAGCAGGCTTTAAAAAACAATGTGTCAACCAATAAATTGTACATGACAAGAAGAATATTTTCGGGGTCCTAAATTGGTTTGAGTATAACGCTTGATTGACACATAATAAGCAATCCCATTAACACATTGTTGAGCATCGAGGGCCTGATAAATGCCCCATCGAGCAGTTCATCCAAATACACTTGACAACAAACTGCCAATATTTTAAAATACAACTTTAAAATATACCCGAAGAAATACTGTAGAAATATACATTTATAATAATATATTTGAACCTATTATATAATTAACAGAAATGAAGTCCTCAACATATGAAATAAGTATATAAATATTTGTGCAAGAATGGAGAAAGATTCAAAAAAAAATTTTAATATTTAAAGAAATTGTTTTTTGCTTGCTGTCCTATTTTATTCTATTTCATGTTGGGTAGTGTGATTTTTCCCCAAACATTTTCTGAACCGAAGCGTGAAAAACACATTGACGACGTTTAAATAGCCTTTAGGGCATAGCCCAACTAATACATTTAACGCCCCCAAAACACAGACCTTCGCTCACGCATACTCATACACAAAAGCACCCACACACACTCACACTCACACAACAGGTTGTTTTTTGCTCATGTCGAGACTTTGACGAGGCTCCTTTTTCCTCTTATTTGTGTGACACACAAATTTTATTTCCCTTTTATTTAACAATTTTTATTTCGCTGTGCGAAAAAGGTCATCTGTGGCTGGTCAGTCGGTCCCTTGCCCACAAACCTACAAGCCCACAGCCTTTAACTATCGCCCGAAAAAAGGGAATATCTAGCTGGCTTTATGGGACCCCATCCCCAAGAAAGGGCATTAAAACGTTTTGACAAACACATTAGATGCCTTCGTCCTTCGTCCTGGTCTGGTGCTGCCCCTAGGACCCTTTTTTTCCCAGACCCTGCTTGTTTGTAATCTTTTGTGTTTTATCAACATATTTGATGAGACTTTGCTGCCGTTGTTGCTGCCTGACATTTTGTGGTTTTTGTGCTGCCTACTTTGTGGCTTTTCGGCGTTAATCATACGCCCTGTTGTTGGCCACATTCTGTTAGTCGTGGGCCAGCCATGTGGTTAGTTTTTTGTGCCCGAAAAATGTTTATAACTAATGAAATTAAATTGGTTGACATTTAGCTGTTACTTTGTAAAATTGGCAGTCATAAATTGTAAAAAATATAAAAAAGGCCTGGAACTAAAAAATATTAGTAAAATATATTTTGTCTTTTCGATATTATAAATATAGTTAATATTCTGCATTCAAATTTTTCATTTTAACATTGATCAAATTCTTGACCCATTTTCATGTCATTTATTTCCAAGTTTCCGAATTGTTGTTAATAGGCCGTCCACAACTGGAATTCCAAAGTCCATAACTTTATCAAATTTTATCCGATTCCAAAGTGGCATACCTCTAAAGACTTGTGGATTGATTCTCTAAAAAACTGCATTCAAAATTTTCATTTTAACGTTGATCAAATTTTTGAGCCATTTTCATGTCATTTATTTCCAAGTTTCCGAATTGTTGTTAATAAGTGGCCCACAACTGGAATTCCGAAGTCCATAACTTTTTCAAATTTTATCCGATTTCAAAGTGGCATACCTCTAAAGACTTGTGGATTGATTCTCTAAAAAACTGCATTCAAAATTTTCATTTTAACGTTGATCAAATTTTTGACCCATTTTCATGTCATTTATTTCCAAGTTTCCGAATTGTTGTTAATAGGCCGTCCACAACTGGAATTCCGAAGTCCATAAATTTATCAAATTTTATCCGATTCCAAAGTGGCATACCTCTAAAGACTTGTGGATTGATTCTCTAAAAAACTGCATTCAAAATTTTCATTTTAACGTTGATCAAATTTTTGACCCATTTTCATGTCATTTATTTCCAAGTTTCCGAATTGTTGTTAATAAGTGGCCCATAACTGGAATTCCAAAGTCCATAACTTTATCAAATTTTATCCGATTCCAAAGTGGCATACCTCTAAAGACTTGTGGATTGATTCTCTAAAAAAACTGCACTCAAAATTTTCATTTTAACGTTGATCAAATTTTTGACCCATTTTCATGTCATTTATTTCCAAGTTTCCGAATTGTTGTTAATAGGCCGTCCACAACTGGAATTCCGAAGTCCATAACTTTATCAAATTTTATCCGATTCCAAAGTGGCATACCTCTAAAGACTTGTGGATTGATTCTCTAAAAAACTGCATTCAAAATTTTAATTTTAACGTTGATCAAATTTTTGACCCATTTTCATGTCATTTATTTCCAAGTTTCCGAATTGTTGTTAATAAGTGGCCCACAACTGGAATTCCGAAGCCCATAACTTTTTCAAATTTTATCCGATTCCAAAGTGGCATACCTCTAAAGACTTGTGGATTGATTCTCTAAAAAACTGCATTCAAAATTTTCATTTTAACGTTGATCAAATTTTTGACCCATTTTCATGTCATTTATTTCCAAGTTTCCGAATTGTTGTTAATAGGCCGTCCACAACTGGAATTCCGAAGTCCATAAATTTATCAAATTTTATCCGATTCCAAAGTGGCATACCTCTAAAGACTTGTGGATTGATTCTCTAAAAAACTGCATTCAAAATTTTCATTTTAACGTTGATCAAATTTTTGACCCATTTTCATGTCATTTATTTCCAAGTTTCCGAATTGTTGTTAATAGGCCGTCCACAACTGGAATTCCGAAGTCCATAAATTTAT